CGGCTTGTTCTCGTCGATGACGGTCCTGAGGACGCGCCGAGGAGTTTTTTCGCGCACCCGCGTATCCGCGCAGCTAAGTATTCACATAAGGTGAATACAGTCTCCTCAAAAGTTAACGATCTTGGCATATATTGCCAAGGACATAATCCTGAGTGAACTGTCCTTTGTTAAAAACTTGTTAACAAAAGAAACGACCACATGAACGAATATTGAAGACTAGCATTTTTCCTATATATTATTTGTGATATACAAATGCATATTCTTACATTATTAGTAAAACACTATAAATATTGTTCAGTATTTTTTGATACTCATTAAGGAGATGTGTTTGCGACATAATAGTGAAAAACTCATCCAGACGTTCGTGATGCAGCGGAAACGACGTTTAGATAAAAAATTTTCCGTCTTGTGCTCCCATTTTAGTGTTACCCTGAAATTGTTCCGTATGACCTCTCTTTCACACCGAGAGCCGTCGCGAGACACATTCTTGGTCGGCTGTCGTGATCGGAAGAATGTATCGCGAATACACTTAATGGTGCTCGGCAAATTGCACGTCCCGGCATGTATAAACACCCTCTCACAATCTCCCGCGCGATCTCTTGGGACCCATCGCGCCTCGTGTCGCAGCCGCCGTGGTACAACAGGTGATTTCTGAAAACGCACGGCCGGTCGTGCGTTTCTCGCGCATGCCTGCATACCTGTATGCATGCATGCATGCGTACGTAGTCGATGCACGGGTACGTGCACGTCCGTTATTTGAAGAGCGTCCTCTGGACGCTTTTTCGTTCATCCGCGATGACCACGGGTGGCCGCTGCCGCCGGTTCTCAGTTATGCGGTCCTGAGAGAGCCGGGGCCCGCCCGGCGATCTTCCTCTTCTTCTTGTTCTTTTTTTTACCGAATTGAGAACCCGGAAGGCGGCGTGCGGCGCTGAGAGGAGAGGTCCCAGTGCACCTTGGCGGGAAAAACCTGTCCGTATCACGGAACCTGCATCTATCCGTCGGCGTGTATCATCACGGCCGTGTACCTGCGCCTGCATTTCTCTTTTCCTCCCCCTCGCATCCCTTTCTCTTCATCTTGATTTTCTTCTTCTCCTTGGACTTGGTCTTGGTCCTTCTCTTGTTCCTTTTCTTGCCCGGCGTTCTTTTCACGGAACCGTCGGGGAGGAAGAGGAGGAGGAAGAAGAAGAAGACGGAGCGCACGCTTCGCCCTCGCGGTTTCACACCTCCGTATGCGCGTCGCGCAACGCAGGAGGAAGTCCTTTCTTCCAGATTTTGCATATCCTTTCAGCCACGGCACGGCATATGCTCTCCTCTCAATTTCGAAGCGAACTTCACCGGCGTACTCCTCCAGGACGAGTCACGCGAGACGAGTAGTCTCTCTCTTCTTTCGCGCCTTCCCCTCTTCCTCACTTGCAGGATTCCTTCCGGCCGCGGTGTTAGCGTACGCGGATTTCAGTGCACCTTGAGAGGTGACTTCACGTGAACGCGTCGTGTCGTTCACGAGGCAGAATCGTCTTTTTTGAACTTTCTCTTTGAAAAGCTTTCAAGTCCGACACACGAAGTATTCGATTATCGTCGGTAAGAATTCGAAACAGACCAAAACATCTGGCTATTAATTAACCGATTTTTTAACAGTGAATTAAACTTAGATCTGAATTTGAACTCTGTTCCAACAATGGATTTGTACAAATTTGTATTTAATGGATTCGAACAAAATTGAAAGTTAATCCTGCACATCGAATCATATTTTTCTGAGTCTATCAGACCCATGAGGAACTTTGAACTGTCGTAACTTTGTTGAGAATTAATATTTTTGGACACATTTCTTATCAGAGATACAGAAAAGTAAGATATTAGCGCAATAATGTCAAAATCTGTAAACGGATTTGTTCTTTTTTTAAATTTTCTCGAATCTTTTGGCGAGCGATCGAATATCTACTCAGATCTCACAGACTCAACATTGTTCGCGAAGGGTTCAATCTAAGTTTAAGTTATTGAAAAATCGTGATCCTTAGATCACTAATATCGAATATAACTCATGATTTACGCGGTAGTAACGCGCACATGCCTTTGATTTTGCTTGAAGTAGAATTTTTATCCATACGAGTGAGATGTTTCAATCGATTAGGGTGAATTTGTTCTTGTGACAGTGATTATATCCGCGACAACAGCGACAACAATAATAATAATTATAAAAGTATAATAATAATGATAATGTAAAAATTCTAACCGCGTTGTGAAGTCACAGTGCACGTTATTTTCTGGCCATAACCCGACCAGCCATAATTACTCAGCAAGTCTGGGCAGAAGGTGGGGGGGAAATACGTGATTCTTGACGAAATAACGGCGCTCTTGGTAAGATAAAGGGGCCCAGACTCGTTGCATTGAAATGTCGACTTGCCCTTCAGGTTGTCTTGCTCTCAGAATTTGGAACACCGGGTATTCCTCGAGGCGCGACGCGTGTAGGTGGTGGACGGTGGATTCCACGATGATTTTGCGTTATCGAATCGGGATTTTTCTAACGTCGTGCTCCGTGAAGGTTTCGATCAGTTCTCGGAACGCAAACTACGTGATATCACGAGACCTTGCGGCTCAACTCCGACGCGCCCCCGGGTCCCTTCCTCGCAGTTCCTCGTCTTTCTCACGTTCTCCTTCCTCGTCCGCGTTACCACAAACTCGTCTCTCTTTCTGTTCTCCGTCCCTCCTCTCTTTCTTCCAATTCTTTCCTCTCCTCGCGCTCTTTTCCTTCACTTATTTCTCCGGCTATGCCCCTCGACGGGTTAAGCCTCACCTAAGGTCCCGTTCACACCGCGTTAAGTTAGGTGAAATTTTTGAACGACAAGATGTGTGAGACAGACGGCATGTTGCTCCTGTGTGTGTGCGTGCGTGTGTGTGTGTGTGTGTGTGTGTGTGTGTGTGTGTGTGTGTGTTATTTATTGCCGCTCTTATTCTAAACATTCTCTATTTATTTATTCCTTTTTATTTAACATTCGTGAAATGTACTGTAGAAATATTCTTTGAATTTCTTGGAATGAAATCTCATATTTGAGTTAAAGAGATTTGCTCGAGACAATAATAAAAATACACTCGGAATCACGGGAGTGTGTTTAGTTGGAATTCAGAGGAAAGAAATTTTCATTCATTCAAGTGAGTGTTTCGATCCATTATTCCTGTGACGACGGCGCGCATCAGGTTCGCTCTTCAATTTCGAGTGAAAATATTCCCTCAAAGTGGGGTGAATTCACGATGACTGAAAAGTCGCTCGAGTTCGGGTATCACTCGACTATCATTCTACTTTCCGAGTAGAATCTCACTCGAAGAAATATAGAGAGCAAGATTTTAGTCTATTCTATTTTCTATTAATTTCTCCATATGTGAAGAGTATAAGGGGTCGCATCATAAATCTTAAATTCGTCGGTTCGTGACGTTTCCCGCCGAGTTTTCTGTATCCTCATGCTCGAAATGTGCAACGGTGTAGATGTAGCCTAAAGACGAGCTGCGCAGTACCTTTGGGTCTTGAGGTACGCGTCGCTGTTAAATTACATTCTCACAAACGAAGCGTTCCTTCACGTTCCGTAAAAGTACTGCTCTCCAGAGCGTCCGTTTCTTTCACAGCTCTTTGCGAGCAGTTCACTCGTAACAGATGTCATACCACGCGCGAGACAGATAATTCACCCTACACAAAATGTAGAGCAGGAGAAGCAAATTTTGCGCGAATTAGGTCCTGACCTGAAAGCCGAGCTCGTCGCTGAAAATTTCATCGGAAACCATCCCTATATATCCTTCCAATAAGTTCAATAATCCGCTATTCAATTTCGTTCTTTCGCCCGTGACGTACACGAAGAGAGACCGCGAATTTCGCAAAAAAATCCCGCAAAAGAGCTACGACGATCCTGCGTGATCGACAACAACAATAAAGGAACCATCGCGTATACCGCATCGAGTCCCGATTGTTATTTCGATCAAGCGCGAAGTCGTGGACCGTAACGCTAATTTCACGTTCGTAAAATTTTATTATATTTGTTGTGTGTGTAAACGCGAATCGATCTCTGGGTGGTTAAGGGCGGAGGTGATATTTAGAGTTATTTTACAAAGGGTATATACAAATTCATGAAAATTAACATATGAATATCACAACTGACACTTCAACATATAAAAAACTACCTTTATTCCGCATTGGAATTTTGATTAACTCTACATTATTAATATCACCCTTTTCAAGATATGTTTTAGAAACTATCCTCTCCACTACGTTAAAATTGTTCCATTTACGCGAATTTTCCATAACATATTTTACATTTTCTTGTATAAGTACACGCAAAAAAAATTTCAGTTGTTGCAACCAAATAGGAACTAACTGAAAATTAGATGATCAGAAACAATATCTCTGTTATGAAAACTAATATTTCTATTGTCGCAACCGAAAATATTCGTCTGAACATTCAATGATATTAGAACTCGGTTGAGGCAACTGAGAACAATTGACTATACAGAAGCCTCATAAAGGAATTTTTCTGTTTCCTACAGCCGAGTTCGTCTGATCCCTGAAGATTATTCGGTTGCACCAACAGAATTGTTTTTTGCGCGCCAAAAAGGCGAGTATTAGTAACGAGCGTTGAAAAAAGATGCTAGTAGTGTGGGGTCAAGTTTATCCAGAAGTTTGAACGATAAAAGTGATCAAAATCAGGGACGCTTTCAGACATTGATGCTTTTACCTCTGCGGCGGCCAGCGACTCCCTCTTATGGGTGCGTGTACGCGCGTGCACGTCCCAGGGCGCGCGGTATGCATGCAAGTTCATAGGGACGACCGGCACCTCCGCTCCGCTCCGCACCTCTCTGGGTCGTGATGCTGGCTCCCTCGTACCGTTCGGTCCCTCTTCTCTTGCCTCGGGGTCGTCAGCCCCCTTCCCTTCCCTTCCCATGCTTTCTCTCCTCTGCTTGCCGCGCCTCGTTCTAGCAACAACCGCGTCATGGTAGACCCTCCATGCCGCGGTACCTCCGCACCTTCCGACCAGTTGGCAGGCAACCGCCGTTCGGAGAGCACAGTCGTCGACGTTGCTCTCCAGGTGTACTCCTCGAGCACGCGTCGCGGCGCCATATCCTCGAGCTCTGCGAGGATGCTGTAGCGCGCGTGTCGTCCACGTGCTGTTATCCTGGACTAAGGACTCTCTCTCTCTCTCTCTCTTTCCCTGATCCACGTAATCGACGCGAGTGCCGATCGTCGCGACGCGTGCGTGTCCCGTCCGTCGGTTTCCTCCCATGTGATACGCGCCTCGATAATCGACCGATAAGGACGATATCCGCGATTAATCGATCGTCTCAAGAGGAAAGAGGGAGATAGAGTGAGTGAGGGATCAAGGGGGCAGAGGAGGCAGACAAAGGAAGCGAGAGGCGGGAGAGGGAGAAAGAGTTGCAGGTAGAAGAGAGGGGGGAGAAGTAGGAAAAAAGCACGCGACTCGATCGGTCACCTGCGAGCCCCTTCGTCGAGACACGTTAGAATGTAACGAGCGCTCCCGACGGACGAACCTACGACGGGACGAAAGGGAGAGCTACGTAAACATGGCCGTGTAGCGATCGGTCGGTCTGTATGTTTGTCTCTATCGGCGGAAGAGACGCACTCTCGGCGGTAATTTCGCGCGACAATCGCGAGAGACGAAGCTCGCAATGAATCGTGCGATCATCACGTAGAGGTGTTAGTGTGCTCGAGCAAGTCGTTGTTGAAGTGTTCGTCGGTGTGTCGCGAGATCCAAGAAGTTAGAGCACGTGTTAGAAAGTGAGAGAGAGAGAGAAAGAGGGAGAGAGGAAGCGCGTTTATTCGCGATCTAGCAGCCGCCGGTATTGTCTCGGATTTTCCTTCTCCTGCCCACCCACGTTTCGTCATCGGTCCACCTCCCCTACGAGAATCGTCGCTTATAATGGATATACTACCGAATGGATTGCTCATGTCAGCCAAGACCGGCGACATCATCACTTATCACTCGTCTTTCTACTCGCCACCACCTACGGAAGCGTAAGTAATCGAAACGATTTTGTTTTTGCTGTTGTTGATTCATAACTGTTTGTCTTTATTTTTGTAAGAGAGTAAAGTGTTCTTCGGAGCGCCGAGTTCTTCTTCGCTCACAGCTTCTCCCTGGAACACGATCATTAGAGCGGTTTGTTACGAGAGCAATCGTTCTCGACGATTTAGAGTATAGAATTTGCCCTTTCCGATTGAAAAATAACTCAAATTTAAGTGACTAAGCTGTTACATTATTTTTTGTATGAAATTTAACTCCTAGAAATTTAAAGAACACAGAATCCATATCAGACTATCAGATATTTGGAAACAGGAGTTTGCGCGAATTACATTTAAAATTAGACGAATCAGATAATCGGTTCGCTTTGTTCCCCGGCTGATCAAGTTACAATCGTCAATTCGTGGTACTTCATATTTAATCTGGACTTGTTAAGTACGCACTTTCTGATGTTCGAGCGACAATCGTGATTATGTTATCGAATTGCATTCGCCGCGTTTGAATTGAGTAATTAAATGCCCCACAAATAAATTGTGTATTTCTATGTAAATTGTGTATTTGTATGTAGCTTGAAAAAAACAAAAAATAAAGGCCATGGCATCAAGTTGGAAGCCAGACCAAACATTTCACCATACTGCGGATATCTAAAATATAGTAATAATTCTTTCACTATATGATTGTAGCTACAAATATCAAGTACATCTTTCTCAATGTATAACTTGACGCGCGATTATCGTGTGATTTTCTATACTCTCCCTTAAGATTTCCTCAGGAAAATGAGAGATTATTCATGGCAAAGAGGTTGGGTGATTTATTTTCGACGAGAAATCAATGAAGAGTTTCTTTTTCCTAACGTTGTGAAATGCTTCGTTAGCTCGAGTTTCCTCGCTCGAGACTCCGCGAATATTCATGATTGAGGTGACCGCGATGTCATATGTCGCTTGTGTCGACGATATCGCGGGCGCAAGTGTGTGTATTAGTGTAACGATATGCGCACTATATGCGCAGCATACGACGAAAATGCGCGTATGCGATGTTGATATCAAAGGATGTGGCGTTATCGCGAGTGAGATTGCTGAGAGAAAGAAAGAAAGAGAGAAAGATGATATATGTAGCTGATTTCAGTACTCTCTCATTAACTTCACCGTGCATCTCTAAGTAGCGAAATGCTGCTTAAGCTGATGGCATACAGAAAATCTTGAGCACCAAGTGAGCTGACCAATCATATTTGACAATTATCGAGAACATAGAATTGTCATGTGGAAATTCTCGACTATGATTGTTCAATTTGCTCAGAGTAAAATAAAACTATCAATGTTTGAACATTAATAACATTGGTACCCAACTCTGAACGTTCTCATTGTTTTGATCTTTAAATACAGGTATTTAAAAACGTTTAAAATATAGAGAGAATATATACTCTGCGTTGAAAGTTTAAATATTCGCATTTAAAAACAATAAGAATGTTCAGAGTTAGATATGTTTCCGGGAATCGATATTTTTATTTCACTGCTCGAATCTTGTTGACGTTTTTCTGCATGTTACGGCCATAATTTGAACAGAGCAGTCTGATATTAAAATCTAGGTTAAATACTCGCGATAGCGAGCAAGAGTCGATGAACGAGTCCGTCGCAATACTTAGTATAATCTCGTGTTTACGCGATCTTTCGTAATGTATCGCCAACGTGGTCTCTTCTCCGGTTATTTTGATCGTCTAACGGCTGCCGGTTAGATCGAACGAGCTCGTGATCGAGCTCAATCTTGGTGTTCACGTTGTCTTCGTCGCTGATGTTTCTGTCTATAATTGCATAGTGAAATAATTACAGTCAGAAATCCCATCCCCTTATAGCGTGCCCTACTATTGATAATAACTGTATGCCGCTACTACTTTGTCGCTAGAATCACAAAAAATCGGCGCCGAAAATGACTATAATCTATGGCGAAATTAACAATCTTTTTTCTTGAATTTCTATCCCAATTGATGGTGAATCTCTTGTGCCGTTCGAAGATGTAGATGAAAGAAACTCTCTAAAGTACAATCAGTGTACTCTTCACTGAACTTACGCGCTGTATTTACGACTGGTGGTTCAATTATAAGTCTAGCAGCGCAATTACAAACGTTCGTTTAATGAGTTTTCGAAAAAGATTCGGAAAATATACGTATCATAGCGCGTGTCTCTTATTTTTCTCAACAGGCACACGTATGAAAGATTCGAATTGGTTCCACTTATTTCACAGACTCTCAACGTGGCGCCGAATGACGTAACGTGTAACTGAGTAATTGTTTTTGCGCAACGAACAGCGAAACGAATGTCTTGAAACGCGCGCGTTACAGCGTCATAATTTATTGTGCCTTATAAATTCGACGATTTAAGAATGCGACAGGAATGTAACGTTCTTTCTGGTAATCTTTCTCGCGTAATTCATATTCATAGGAACGTGCTTGCTATCTATCTAGTATCTCATTAAGTAACGTGCTTGATTAGAGTATCCTATGAATATTTAATGACACGGCATAGAGATTGTATTGTGGGGGTTGCGCGCGTTCACGGGTTTTGCCGAATATTAAACGAAAATCGCGTCCCTATGCGGAATATCCCGAAGCGTTCTCTCGAGCCGAGAAATCTTTCGACCGATTTTTTTTTCGATAAACGATTTTCTTCTCGATTTCGAGTGGCAATACTTTCACTACCACTTCAAGTGAAAATACTATCACTTTGCACTCGATCTGATTGAGATTCTGTTCCGAGAAATTTAGGAAGAAAGAAGGAGCAGTGAGGTGAGAGAACGTTTCCTCGGAATAGCAGTGAATATTCCCTGATTATCGGTGAAAATACTCCTTTTACTGATTTACTTTAAAAGAGTACGAGCCAGAATCGTCCAACACGTCTCAGATAGGCAATGTAATGTTCGCTTTTGTTCTCTTTGAACGGCAGCTTAAGTAAACGCATATGCGTCGAACGTCAATTAAGTGCCAACGCAAGTAGTCAAGCGAACAGAGAAGAACTGCGAGAAAGCAAACGCGCGATACTGATCGCGGTGAAGTGACAACTCTTCGAAGGAGAACCTCGCGTCCCAACGTGCGAGTTTTAAAGGACGCAACGTAACGTGACGAGACGAGACGAGACGAGATGAGGCGCAGTCTTCTCGGGGAAGGACGAAATAAATGATGCTCAGATATTCCCAGTGGCCTCGGAACCGGGTTTAAATCTCCTCGTGGACTAGTCTACCTCTCACCCTCTTTTTGTCTTGTCGAGGCTGTAGACCTGCGAGAAAAAGAGAGAGAATGAGAGGGAGCAGAAGAGAGACCAGCCGCTGGGAAGACGGATGGCGGTCTTCTCTCTTTCTCTCTCTCTCTTCTTCCTTTTTTCTTTCTCGTTGTTCCCTTTTCCTGACCGAACGCTAAGCGACCAGCGCTGAAAAGCGCGATAGCCGTAGGTCAGACGAGGGATACAACACTGCGAGTGGTCCCGCAACGAGAAGTTGTCCGGCCTGTCCGTCCGTTTAGATGTTTGTCGGCTCTCGCCCCTTTTCTTTCTACCCCACTCTCTGTGTTCGGGCCGGATACTTCGTCCAATATAGTCGGATAGCTCCCAAAAGACATCACTTCTCTTCTCTCCCTCTCTTTCTTCTTCTATCTCTCCTCCCTCTCTCTTTATCTTCAGGACGTACTACCTCGGGGTTTCAATAGAGACTCGCAACTAAAGTTGTACTAAGCACTGAAGGTCGATGGTGCGACAAAACATGATAGATTCGAATGCACTGCAGAGAGCCGGAGTGACGGACTTTAGGACGAAAAGCGAAGAATCACACAGACCTCCTTCTGTTGTGTTTTCTTGAGTGAAAAGCACAAATAGCTCGGCCAGCTCGGAGCTGACGTAGAATTATTAATGACCAAAATTAGGGTTGAGATATAAGTCGACACGACGTAGCTTAACATCGATATTTTTTATTGCATACCAGACTTATGTATTTAAAAAAAGTTATAGAATGAAATAATTGTAGCCAGAAAGAAACATAATAATACATTCCATTAGACCATTAATGTAATATTAGTTAATAACTTTATGCGCACTTCTTTTCTTTTCTTTTCTTTTTATAAGAATAACATAGAAAATACGATAATCGTGAAAAATGACTATAATGATGGTCAGTGTAGTAAGTACGTGTTAGGGTCTACTATAGCCTAGGGTGAATAGCAAGGATGGTCGCGATTATTGGTCCTAGCTTTGAGATCATTAATGCCTAGGTTATAACCTGACAGTTATATAGGCAAAAATCCTTGGTTCACATTCCAGGACAAGAAAAATAGGCGACCTTTGGTCTTCAATATGAGTCTTTTGAAGGTTGTCTGATGTAACGAATTTTAGAAAATTTCATAGTAGGCGAGATGGTAATAGCGAAACATGTCGAAGTGGAAGGTTCTTACGTGTTGAAATGATTCACTCCGGGAATTGTTAAACGTGCGATTTGCGTAGCTTCACTTTATTTTTTTCCTTTCCGTTAATTATACAGTTACATCTGATGAATCTGCAACAGCCATCGCTCACTATAAATAGATCATGTTCACGTTGCGTGTGGTTTCTCGGCGGAGAGCTGAGCTCTCCGACCTGCTTATGGGTTCTCGAGGAAAAAAAAATAGAGCGAGACCCTCTGAGAGATTCGAGAGTTATTTTCTATTGAAGAGCGAACGTCACGAGCTCTACGTGTCGTCACATGTCCCTATTCCCTATCTGTGATTCTTCTTTAGCTGATCTTCATATGCTTCTATACTTATTCTACACTTTTGTCGTAAAAGAACATAGATATAACATAGATATCGCGAAGAGAACATAGTAAACTGAGTCGAACTTTCTGGTCCACCCGATTTTTTCATCGGTAATATTTCGGCAATTGAAAGACGAGGCTCGGAATTAAAAACCTCGAGGACATTCTCAGATTCTACGAAGTCTAGGGATCCTGAGAGATTTCTCACCGGCCGAAAACTACCGCGGGA